TGGACCCGCCGATCGCCTATATGTGAAACACCCGGTAACGGGTGTGTGCATGGAGCGGGTCTTTTTTGCCCGTGCGCGAGCAGAAAAAAATTGCCGTCTGGAGACGGCAACCCGCAGATGCTGCAGTGCCGTCCGTCCGTTTTTTTACTATGGGCGGACGGCAAGAGGTTAAATGAAGGTGTTACGTAAAGTGGAGAATATCATCTTGTCCTGTAATGCAACAGAAAGAACTACCAACTGCAATTTTGGTAATTACCGGTACTTTGGCTTAACATGCCAGCAGACAGGAGAAGGTGGGACAATAAAGCTTTACAAATGCTGAATATAGACATTTCTGGCAATACAAGGAAGCACAGGTGTTTAGTTGCTCTTTCACGGATATCTTTAGTGGTATGATAAACACAAAAACATAGGCTTATTATAACCGTTAAAACAATGTGCCTTCCTTCTTTTAAAAAGTCAGTCCACATAAAAGTACTTTTATTTTTTTACAGCTGGAGCCAGGTGAGCTGAGTAGCCCTCTGATTTCTTGTTTTTCATGCCATAGTTCTCAGCACTCTTTTTACCTACATGTCCATATCACTGTTCTTACTACAACGGTGGTATTCAACTTTTCTTCCTCCGTTCACCAAAAAATACATACATATTTTCAGTGGGAGGGCTGTGTCGCATATCAAGGCAGGTGTGCAAACTCGGAAGCTCGTACACACAGATCTCACTACCAGGCAGGAGAAGCATAAACACTGTTAAGCTGGTTTACCTCTATACCATCTGCAAAACTTGAAATTCATTAAAGGAGAATTATGAGGTGAGTGATTTTCACTCAGCCTCATAATCTGAGCCGGCCTGTGACAATGTAACTGTCACAGGTCGGCTCAGTAGATTGGGAAGTGAGCAAACACATACCGTCGCTCGCTCACTTCTCGATCCTGTGCCGGCAGAGAGCCGTGACAGGGGAGGGACTGGATTTCCCCCTCCCCTATCTGATCCTCCAGCGCTGACTGGCGGAACGGACAGGGGAGGGGGCGGGTACAGCTGGCTCTGCCTCTAGATAGGGGTGGATCCAGACATAATTGTCGGGATCCATTCCGGCTGCGGCGTCTCAGTATAGCTACAGCTCGCGGTATACTGAGCTTTGGGAGACAGGAGGACGCTATTTGTGTCCTCCCGTTAGCCTTAGGAGAACTATGGGTAAAAGCCCTAACCCCATAGTTCTCCTTTAAGGGGCAGACTGACCATTTAAGTCAGTCATTCAAACCACCTGTCTTTCTCTGTATATGCAACACACGTTAAAATCACATAAATAATGATGAAGCATACCACTCAAAGATCCAACTGCTCCAAAACTTAGAGATTTTCCATCCATTATACTGGCATCACATTCTACTTCTCCCAGGAGATTTAAGTTGGACCCCATTCCTGCATTTGTAAATGGAGAGTCCTATATAGAGGGAGAAAAAAAACCTTTTGTTAGATCTGAAGATAATAATGTTCATAACTGTCTGACAAAGTAACCTTACAAAATCAAAAACTTTACGTGGATGATACGAGTTGCGGAGTATGGCATTGGGAGATGATTGGAAAAGAGCATAAGAGGCACTGGAACCCTCTGGTGTTTTTATATGTTTGCATTATATCATTTTTGTCATCCAAAATCATGGCAATGGTGTGAATATAAAGAATCTGAATACTGGGCTAGCAGCTTCTGTACACTGAAGGTTTTCCACATTCACCTTGAGCTGTGATGGAGAGAAGCTCATTCAGGATTGAAGCACCACACCATGATATTCAAGTCCAATGATGGACTGTTTGCATATCCATGCATTTGGGGGGCTGTAGATGCACCTATTTGATCCAGGTTTAAAATAATGAAACAAAGATATAGTGTATGTGGACTCAATGATCAGTTAGTTGGGCGTTGTTGGAATGTTCAGGAATTGGAACATCATCCATGAGAAGCTTAAAGGAGAGTAATGTGATCTTATCAGTTGCTGCCTTTGGTTAGGCACAGACTTTACCAAAGGGCAAAGCCAAAGGTTAGTAGCCCTTAGTACTGTATATAGAGAGACCTGTAACTATCTAATATTTGTGCAGCGTTATAACTAAACTGACTTATGCTAAACTTTAAGCAAACAGTGAAATGGTTTAACATGTGAAACACCTATAACAATGATAATCCTGATACATGACAAGCATGCAAAATACTGTCCAGGGGGGAAAGGGGGGATTAGCCACTATCAATATATATAAATACAGAAAAATCAGTTGTAATTGATACAAAAGTATATTTCTGTGTTCATATACAACAATTGCATATGTCTGCTTCATGCATACTCTGTGTACATTGCTGGCATGTTTTTTTAAAAATACCTCTGCAAAGGTGAAAATGGGCTTTAACCCTTTCCCTGCCACCGATGTAAGGCATACGGCAGAACAAAACTGTTCCCAAAACACCAGGTCAGTATGCTCTTACGGCGGTGGCATTTATCTCTCTGCTAAAAGCTATAGCGACTTATGAACTTATATCAGAACTGTTCCCCGGATGGTCCCCTTTAAATTAATAGCGGCTCACAAGCCGCTGACAGCTATTAATAAAAGTTCCGGGCGCCTGTATGATTTTATCACAACACAAACACCAAAACAGCGCAAAAACGATTTTTAACATTTTAGTCGCTTATAGACAGTTTTGCGTTCCTTCATTTTTTTACCTTTTCACAAAAAGGCGAAATTTAAAATATGCAAATATTTGTTATTTATTAACTCAATACAGTTCTATCTTTTAGATTGTCAGAAAAAAAAAAAATTTGTGCACCAATACGGATTTTAGTGAATTTTTATCGGTTTAATATTAATTTGAGAAACATTTGCGCAATTATCGCAGGGCCTACAAATTTAGTAGCACCATCTTTCTATTCTACCGGGCCTACGCTTTCAGAAAATATATGGTTTGGGTTTGGTTTTTTTTACAAACGCTAGCAACGCAGTAGTTGAAAATCAAATCAATGGGAAAAAATTGAAAAAATGGTGTGGCCAGCTGAGGTGCAAAAAGTTCTGGAGGGCTTGGCAGCGAAAGGGTTAAATCAAGGCTAGACAAATTCCAGGAGCCAGGTAGGCAATGCTCCTTACAAATTCTAGCTGGCATCTAACTTTTGAGGTTCTCTAGTAGTTGTCAATGGCGTTGGCTCTTAAAAACAGCCTGCTGGCCCGTGGATTACACAGACTGGCTCCTGAATTCCATAATTTTGCCACCCCTGCTTTAAAGTTCCATTCATATCACTTTTGGTGCACATAGAGAGCCCCAAATGCTGAGCGAACTGGCCACAAAAGCACCCAAATTCTGCTTTAACTTGCAGCTAAGCTCCAGTCCTATCATACCACAATGCAAAAGCAGAGCCTTAACAGTCAATATAATTGATATTTGGTGAGGGCTTTGGCTCCACCACAGTACAAGACTAAGCTCTATGTCAAAACAGAAGTCCAGTACCAGGTGGAGAGCTTGCTTAGAGCTAAAGAAGGTGGGTTTCTAGTTGCACCAAAAAAAAGGTACTTGTAGACACTTTCTGGTAGTACATTTGACTAATACTATGGCTTCAAATTTAATATTGCTAACATTGAAGAAGGCTTTAGAGTTACCTGTGGCCAAGTTATGAACAGTTTTGGTTTACATTTTTCTAAACACAGGAAATTAGTTTAAAAATAATCTATTCCTGACCTCTGTAGTTGTAATGTGGAGCAATTTATCTGCAAAGTTCCTGATGTTGAATGAAGTGGCAGAGGAGCCAAAGATGGGGAAGTATATGCTGCCGAGAATGAATAAAGGATCAAAGCAAACCTGTTGCTTTGCCTTGAATGGTTTGATTTAAAGTCGGAGATTTAAGAGACCACCCCTCCCTATCCCGCAACACAATGCCTTAGATAAATATTGAGAACACCAGCATTGCACACAATGGTATATAGGAAAAATATTTGATCTATTATCTTATGCAGCCTGTGTGAAGCTACTATGTGCAGTTACTGTAAATGGTATTTTGACAGATTTTCTGTAAATTCACATTAAAAAGTGCAGAAGAAATGAGCTTCCTTATTCCCATGGTACATTTAATTGAACTTTAATTATTAATAGGGAACTGCAGAGGTCAGCTGAGTGCATCAAGCGCTCTACTCTAAACCTTTTGGTCTTTCAGTATCGTTTTCTAGCCTTGCATCCTGCATAGTTTGCTCTTTTGCTACATTATGTACTTATACACATAGTTTTGCAGTAATAGCTTTTGGTTAAAGTAAAAAACATACCTCCAACTCCACAAGAGCTGCTGTGACAGCATCTGTTGCAAGATCGCCAGCTTGTAACTTTTCAATTGCCTGCACATAAATGTAGAGAATAAATAGGAATTATTTTTTTATCAAAACTCAAGGTGTTGAAACATAAATTTACAGACAGGCACTTTGATTGGGGAAGCAGGAATGGCAAATTATAAGCAGATTAACCTTCAGCTTTAAAATGACATCCAAGGCAAGCTTATAAATACACAATTGATGGTCATTTGGACCCGCCGATCGCCTATATGTGAAACACCCGGTAACGGGTGTGTGCATGGAGCGGGTCTTTTTTGCCCGTGCGCGAGCAGAAAAAAATTGCCGTCTGGAGACGGCAACCCGCAGATGCTGCAGTGCCGTCCGTCCGTTTTTTTACTATGGGCGGACGGCAAGAGGTTAAATGAAGGTGTTACGTAAAGTGGAGAATATCATCTTGTCCTGTAATGCAACAGAAAGAACTACCAACTGCAATTTTGGTAATTACCGGTACTTTGGCTTAACATGCCAGCAGACAGGAGAAGGTGGGACAATAAAGCTTTACAAATGCTGAATATAGACATTTCTGGCAATACAAGGAAGCACAGGTGTTTAGTTGCTCTTTCACGGATATCTTTAGTGGTATGATAAACACAAAAACATAGGCTTATTATAACCGTTAAAACAATGTGCCTTCCTTCTTTTAAAAAGTCAGTCCACATAAAAGTACTTTTATTTTTTTACAGCTGGAGCCAGGTGAGCTGAGTAGCCCTCTGATTTCTTGTTTTTCATGCCATAGTTCTCAGCACTCTTTTTACCTACATGTCCATATCACTGTTCTTACTACAACGGTGGTATTCAACTTTTCTTCCTCCGTTCACCAAAAAATACATACATATTTTCAGTGGGAGGGCTGTGTCGCATATCAAGGCAGGTGTGCAAACTCGGAAGCTCGTACACACAGATCTCACTACCAGGCAGGAGAAGCATAAACACTGTTAAGCTGGTTTACCTCTATACCATCTGCAAAACTTGAAATTCATTAAAGGAGAATTATGAGGTGAGTGATTTTCACTCAGCCTCATAATCTGAGCCGGCCTGTGACAATGTAACTGTCACAGGTCGGCTCAGTAGATTGGGAAGTGAGCAAACACATACCGTCGCTCGCTCACTTCTCGATCCTGTGCCGGCAGAGAGCCGTGACAGGGGAGGGACTGGATTTCCCCCTCCCCTATCTGATCCTCCAGCGCTGACTGGCGGAACGGACAGGGGAGGGGGCGGGTACAGCTGGCTCTGCCTCTAGATAGGGGTGGATCCAGACATAATTGTCGGGATCCATTCCGGCTGCGGCGTCTCAGTATAGCTACAGCTCGCGGTATACTGAGCTTTGGGAGACAGGAGGACGCTATTTGTGTCCTCCCGTTAGCCTTAGGAGAACTATGGGTAAAAGCCCTAACCCCATAGTTCTCCTTTAAGGGGCAGACTGACCATTTAAGTCAGTCATTCAAACCACCTGTCTTTCTCTGTATATGCAACACACGTTAAAATCACATAAATAATGATGAAGCATACCACTCAAAGATCCAACTGCTCCAAAACTTAGAGATTTTCCATCCATTATACTGGCATCACATTCTACTTCTCCCAGGAGATTTAAGTTGGACCCCATTCCTGCATTTGTAAATGGAGAGTCCTATATAGAGGGAGAAAAAAAACCTTTTGTTAGATCTGAAGATAATAATGTTCATAACTGTCTGACAAAGTAACCTTACAAAATCAAAAACTTTACGTGGATGATACGAGTTGCGGAGTATGGCATTGGGAGATGATTGGAAAAGAGCATAAGAGGCACTGGAACCCTCTGGTGTTTTTATATGTTTGCATTATATCATTTTTGTCATCCAAAATCATGGCAATGGTGTGAATATAAAGAATCTGAATACTGGGCTAGCAGCTTCTGTACACTGAAGGTTTTCCACATTCACCTTGAGCTGTGATGGAGAGAAGCTCATTCAGGATTGAAGCACCACACCATGATATTCAAGTCCAATGATGGACTGTTTGCATATCCATGCATTTGGGGGGCTGTAGATGCACCTATTTGATCCAGGTTTAAAATAATGAAACAAAGATATAGTGTATGTGGACTCAATGATCAGTTAGTTGGGCGTTGTTGGAATGTTCAGGAATTGGAACATCATCCATGAGAAGCTTAAAGGAGAGTAATGTGATCTTATCAGTTGCTGCCTTTGGTTAGGCACAGACTTTACCAAAGGGCAAAGCCAAAGGTTAGTAGCCCTTAGTACTGTATATAGAGAGACCTGTAACTATCTAATATTTGTGCAGCGTTATAACTAAACTGACTTATGCTAAACTTTAAGCAAACAGTGAAATGGTTTAACATGTGAAACACCTATAACAATGATAATCCTGATACATGACAAGCATGCAAAATACTGTCCAGGGGGGAAAGGGGGGATTAGCCACTATCAATATATATAAATACAGAAAAATCAGTTGTAATTGATACAAAAGTATATTTCTGTGTTCATATACAACAATTGCATATGTCTGCTTCATGCATACTCTGTGTACATTGCTGGCATGTTTTTTTAAAAATACCTCTGCAAAGGTGAAAATGGGCTTTAACCCTTTCCCTGCCACCGATGTAAGGCATACGGCAGAACAAAACTGTTCCCAAAACACCAGGTCAGTATGCTCTTACGGCGGTGGCATTTATCTCTCTGCTAAAAGCTATAGCGACTTATGAACTTATATCAGAACTGTTCCCCGGATGGTCCCCTTTAAATTAATAGCGGCTCACAAGCCGCTGACAGCTATTAATAAAAGTTCCGGGCGCCTGTATGATTTTATCACAACACAAACACCAAAACAGCGCAAAAACGATTTTTAACATTTTAGTCGCTTATAGACAGTTTTGCGTTCCTTCATTTTTTTACCTTTTCACAAAAAGGCGAAATTTAAAATATGCAAATATTTGTTATTTATTAACTCAATACAGTTCTATCTTTTAGATTGTCAGAAAAAAAAAAAATTTGTGCACCAATACGGATTTTAGTGAATTTTTATCGGTTTAATATTAATTTGAGAAACATTTGCGCAATTATCGCAGGGCCTACAAATTTAGTAGCACCATCTTTCTATTCTACCGGGCCTACGCTTTCAGAAAATATATGGTTTGGGTTTGGTTTTTTTTACAAACGCTAGCAACGCAGTAGTTGAAAATCAAATCAATGGGAAAAAATTGAAAAAATGGTGTGGCCAGCTGAGGTGCAAAAAGTTCTGGAGGGCTTGGCAGCGAAAGGGTTAAATCAAGGCTAGACAAATTCCAGGAGCCAGGTAGGCAATGCTCCTTACAAATTCTAGCTGGCATCTAACTTTTGAGGTTCTCTAGTAGTTGTCAATGGCGTTGGCTCTTAAAAACAGCCTGCTGGCCCGTGGATTACACAGACTGGCTCCTGAATTCCATAATTTTGCCACCCCTGCTTTAAAGTTCCATTCATATCACTTTTGGTGCACATAGAGAGCCCCAAATGCTGAGCGAACTGGCCACAAAAGCACCCAAATTCTGCTTTAACTTGCAGCTAAGCTCCAGTCCTATCATACCACAATGCAAAAGCAGAGCCTTAACAGTCAATATAATTGATATTTGGTGAGGGCTTTGGCTCCACCACAGTACAAGACTAAGCTCTATGTCAAAACAGAAGTCCAGTACCAGGTGGAGAGCTTGCTTAGAGCTAAAGAAGGTGGGTTTCTAGTTGCACCAAAAAAAAGGTACTTGTAGACACTTTCTGGTAGTACATTTGACTAATACTATGGCTTCAAATTTAATATTGCTAACATTGAAGAAGGCTTTAGAGTTACCTGTGGCCAAGTTATGAACAGTTTTGGTTTACATTTTTCTAAACACAGGAAATTAGTTTAAAAATAATCTATTCCTGACCTCTGTAGTTGTAATGTGGAGCAATTTATCTGCAAAGTTCCTGATGTTGAATGAAGTGGCAGAGGAGCCAAAGATGGGGAAGTATATGCTGCCGAGAATGAATAAAGGATCAAAGCAAACCTGTTGCTTTGCCTTGAATGGTTTGATTTAAAGTCGGAGATTTAAGAGACCACCCCTCCCTATCCCGCAACACAATGCCTTAGATAAATATTGAGAACACCAGCATTGCACACAATGGTATATAGGAAAAATATTTGATCTATTATCTTATGCAGCCTGTGTGAAGCTACTATGTGCAGTTACTGTAAATGGTATTTTGACAGATTTTCTGTAAATTCACATTAAAAAGTGCAGAAGAAATGAGCTTCCTTATTCCCATGGTACATTTAATTGAACTTTAATTATTAATAGGGAACTGCAGAGGTCAGCTGAGTGCATCAAGCGCTCTACTCTAAACCTTTTGGTCTTTCAGTATCGTTTTCTAGCCTTGCATCCTGCATAGTTTGCTCTTTTGCTACATTATGTACTTATACACATAGTTTTGCAGTAATAGCTTTTGGTTAAAGTAAAAAACATACCTCCAACTCCACAAGAGCTGCTGTGACAGCATCTGTTGCAAGATCGCCAGCTTGTAACTTTTCAATTGCCTGCACATAAATGTAGAGAATAAATAGGAATTATTTTTTTATCAAAACTCAAGGTGTTGAAACATAAATTTACAGACAGGCACTTTGATTGGGGAAGCAGGAATGGCAAATTATAAGCAGATTAACCTTCAGCTTTAAAATGACATCCAAGGCAAGCTTATAAATACACAATTGATGGTCATATATATTTTACCTGCTAAAGAATTTTTACTTCTTTCCATTTGGACCTTAGATTTACACAGCCTTACCACACTGCACAGCCAGCCTGGTGACCTGACTTTTCTCAGCTGCAATTAAGCAACACAGCTAGGTCACCTTCCTTCCCCCAGCCTGTGACTGGACAGCAAATTAGTAGTAATCTCCCTGTTTACTATTCCCATCAGGATGTCTTTTGCTAGCACATTTTATGCTAGTGAATGAGGACACGTGAATGGCCCCTATTATTTACGGTCGCACCTCCCTCTCCCAGCTGCTGTAGAAAGAAGTCAAATTCAGACATTATAGTAATTATTATAGTAGTTATTCAAAATGCATTTTTTTTTTTCAAAAACACACAACAGGATTTTTTTTTATACCTGTATGTAGTTCAGCTTTAAGTCAACCAAAATAAGTAAAGATGTGGCTGCAGCATGCCATGGCACGGAAAACAGGGCACTTGCGTTGTAAAAATGAAAAGGAAACATTGCCTTAACAAAAGGATGATCAGCCTAGTAAAAAAAAAGCTGACTCCTTCTCCTGTTCCATATAAATATTCTCCCGAAACTCCCTGTGCCATATCGTTCTCCTTATTTGCCAAGCTTACATTTTCGTTGGCTCCAGAAACAAGGCAAAAATTCAGATTCTGCACCAATCCCCTGAAATGACATTCTTCTACCATGTGTCTTAGGTATTCAGTACCAGTAGGGGCTGCATTTTCTGCTGAGCCAACTTAAACGGCACAAACTAATGAAAACAAAAGTTTATGTAATGAAGCGACAAAGAATTCCTGAAGAATATAGTTCTCTTAATCTGGCCGCTGCACTGAAGGCCTAATTCCTTTCTAAGATGGAACCACATACCATTTCTAGTGTGTCATACGTTGGCATGCGTGTGAAATTTGAATTACAAAGACTAAGTGAATTACACACGCGTACGGAAAAAGGAAAAAGTATGCATTCTTTTTTCCACACGACAACCTTATTTCCTTTGCTGCCATGTATGAAAGCCAAAAAACAGACTAAAACAATGTAAGATGTGTGGAAGGTAACAGCAGAAACAAAAATATGGTCAATTGCCACAAATAAAAACCATTTGGACCACCAAGGTTGGCTGATCTGAACTCTTTAACCTTTCTCGGAACCTCTTAACAACCTGCAGTCATGTAAAGGACAGAAAGTTACTAATACTGAGAACAAACAGACAAGATGTTCAGATATAGTCTGAAAAGAGAACTGTGTGGCTCTGTAGCAACCAATGCAATTCTCCCTTTCATGTTTATGTGCAGGATAGAACATGGTAGGCTGGAAACATTTTAAACAGTTGCTAAGAAACCCAAAAAGTGAATTTGTTTACAATTCACAACACTTAAAACAGTGAAGAAAAAAAAAAACAGTTTAAGTTTCTTTACAGCACTAGTGCAATTTCATTAGGAAATGTGAAAACTAGAGGTGCACTAAAATGAAATTCCGAAGCCGAAAATAAAAAAAAATGTCAGGCTGAAACCGAAAATGATTTTTTTCGAACCTTTTTAATTTTTTTTTATATTTTATTTTTATAAATATTTGTATTTTTTTACTTTATTGTTGGGGGCTTTGGGGAAATATTAGGGTCTAAAACAAACCCCTGATATTTCCCTTTTAAAAATAGAAAAAAAGAGATTGAGAACACAAGAGTCCTCAATCTTTTTCTGCAGCCCCTGTTATAATGAACAGGAACCCTCTATACTGAGTGTTTCTGTTCATTTATAACCCGTGGAGATAGTATGTTTACCATGCCCACAATCATGAATGAACAGGAAGTGATGTAGAGCACTTCCTGTTCATTCATAATTTGGGACACAGTAAACATAATATGTCCTCAATTATTTACAAGCATAACGATCACTGACTGCTTGTACCCATCCTGACTCCATCCTGACCCGCTGTCACAGGAGGCTGAGCGAGCGGTGCGGGAGGAGGGCTTGGTCTATTTTGACAGCAGACTCTTCCCGCGCACTCCAGCTCGGACTCCTGTGAACCTCGTCTTCGCCCCTACACGACTCTATTTCCTAATTTTTCTCAGGAGGCCGAACTGGGCGGTGCAGGAGGAGAGCCCGGGCTCCTGTGACACACGGACAGCTCCTCCCCGCACCGCTCGGCCTCCTGTGACAGTTTCTCTCTTCCCTGCTTCTCTTGCGCTGTCAGAGGGGACACAAAGCAATAACCAGCGGGGAGGAGAGAAACCAGAGCTGCACCGCAATTTCAGCCAAAAGATGGTACTTTCGCCATTATTTGGCAGGCAAAATTTCGGTGCATACCTAGTGAAAACCTATTTTATTCGAAACTCAAAGTAAAAAAAAAAAAAATAATTTAAATTGACTGTCAATTTCAAAAAGAAAACCATGCAAAAAAAAAGACAACCAATCACGCTCTTCAGTCCTGCCATCCGTGCCTTCAGTATCCACTTCTACATAATGTCATCTGCTGTGTGATGTGGTTCCATCCACTGGCCACAATGCCACTAATGTATCCTGTAGTGATATTGCCACCTGGCAGGTGGAACCTCAGCACCGCAGCGAGGGACCGGGCATCAGCCAAACCCATGTATCAGAAACTGAAGAGTCTGCCAATGGCTTTAAACTGCAAGACAGCAAAGATTGTAAACACAGGCAATGCAGCAGGTAAGTATAAACGCTTTATACCTCTTCTTCACAGTGTGCTTTTTTGACCATATATCTCAATGGTCAATAAACATAATTGTGGTGAGTGTCTTACATGGATGGGATAATCGCTCTTTTTATCCCATCCATGAAAGACACTCACCACAATTACATTTCTTGACCATTGAGATATATGGCCATGGATCTCTGGTGAGTGTGTTCTCAGTTATGTTAACACATCGGGAGCACTTTATTTTAGAGGATCATTGTCACACTGGGGATTTTGCACAAAAGCACTTTATACAGATTTACTAAGGACTATTATTGAATATTGTCATATTGAATATTATTAATATGTTTGAAAATGTATGTTTATGAAATGTACACATCGTTTGGAAGTTTATGCATGTATTGCTTTACTGCAGGGTAGTTGCAGAAAAGAGAAAGGCATGGGAACAAATCTGACTTAACATGGAGGCATGCACAGAAGTGTATTAATACCAGTATCAGTAGCTGCAGATTCTAATTATTTTGACAGAGAGATTTTGTTGTGAATTTTTGTGCCACTATATACATGATTGTATAGTATCTGCACTGTGACTATATGCTTTTTGCCTTTATAAACTAACGCTTTCCAAAATGTTGTGTTTAGGCATTAGAGGAACTTTACCCATATTTTTGAAATGACAACAAAAACACCTTCAGAAATGTTTATGGCAATTGGAATGGCAATCTACAAACACATACATATAGATAATTGCAGGCTTGTTATTCTTTGCATACCTTATTTTTCTTTTCCTCCCCATTCTTCTCACACTGGCCATTTTACAAAGGGCAGAATACTAGCTATCCTTTTACTTCCTAGAACTCTGGCACATGTGACTAGGACATGTGACCATGCACATCATCTCAGAGGAGGAAAATGCCTTTCCCTGAGATCTCGTGAGATTACAGATGAGATTTCCCAGCAATGCACTGCTGATATAACCTTCCCAGGATATGCAACACTTGGGCTCATTACAACACTGAGGCCCAAGAGGACCAGGAAGTGGAAAAACAGTAATTGTAAGTAAAACAAAAATATGTTTAACTAATGAATGTAAAAAGCTTTAATATCAGCATTTAGGGCTGCTTGCTGAGGTGATTTTTAGTGAAAGGGGTAAAGGTCCGCTTTAACTTCAAAACAGTTAGGAACCTATTTTAGCATAACAAAGAATCCGTTATATTAGTTGATGAATTACATTTTCAGGTGTGTGAATTATATATTTATAGCCCTTCACCACTTTGTTAATCAGGTGTTACATTTCTTGGCACTCAAAATCAATGTACTTGAACGACTGTGCCAATTTCATTGCGCACAAAGGCTACACGCATAAAATCGACATGATTTACAAGACACCAAAAAAAGAAATGAGAATGATCGAGAGCCCAGTGCTCTATCAATAAGTCGTGAGCAGCTAGGAACATGAGTTTCCAATGAAAACAATGGAGAAGATCACTTGTCATCTGTGTCAATTGCTATCCAGTGTCTAGGATTTGTCCAGCCCAGATAATCTTCTAGACCCCATAACACAAGAACTCAACCAATTCTAAAAGAAAAAACCTAAAGGCAGTACAGGATGTTCTCAGTATCAATGGATCATTTTTCTAGTACATCCAAGTAAATCAAAGCTGACTCTTGAAGAGACTCTGCCAATGTACTTACTTAAGGCAAGGTAAAGCTGGCCATACACCTATAGATTATCTGCAGATTTTCTATGGTCAGATTCCTCCATCTACGCTAAACTGTGTGGATAGAAGAATCTCCCACTGGGCCAAGCTTCAGTATCTTGCTAGTCGGCCCTGCTGGCTGTCAAAATTCATGAACAATCTGATTGGATGCAGGCATTGTTCAGGTATTTTGAGAGCCAGCGGAGCCGACTAGCAAGATACTGAAGCTTGGCCCAGTGGGAGATTCCTCCATGCACACTGTTTAGCATAGATGGAGGAATCTGTTGCACTTTTTTCATCTGTCCATAGAAAATCTGCAGATAATCTATAGGTGTATGGCCAGCTTTAGTATCAGTGGGTGGGTTTTTTTCTTCTTGCATATATTAGGAAAGGTTCACCCCCAAAAAAATATCCTACCTTTTTGCATGCTCGTTTACAGACATGCTTGTATTCCTTAGCTTTTGATTCTGAATGATAGCCAGCACCTAAACATTAGCAGAAACAAACATGTTAAAGTCTCAGATTCCTGTATTATAAACATCGTTGTTGGTATGAAGAGTATAAATAGTAAATAATATTCTCATGTGTATCTTCTGAAATGCAATGGTTTTATTAAAACTCTATTCAAGTATTATATTTACTTTGATGAAACATTGTGACAAAACTGATATCTCAGCTATTAATTGATATCTGTGGACTGAACCACCAAAATCTTGAATCATATCCCCCCCACCCCCACCTCCTCAATTCTCCAGCCCAATTCCCTGCAATAAACAAGAAAATCAAACAGAAGCTCTGACTGTAACTGGTAATAACCAGAAACAAACGATGGACGTTTTGTCAGTAACTACTGTATGAATATGTAACCCATGAAGTATGGCTGTATTTGCTGCAAGATACAGTCTACAGTTGAGGTAGTCAAACTTGGCATTCCAGCTCTGGATGAACTACAAATTCCATCATGCCTGTGGCTATCAGAGTCTTGCAATGATTCATGGGATTTGTAGTTTCACCACAGCTATATTGCAGTGGTTTCCTACCACTGGTCTACAGCCTCTATGGCCTTGGTTCTCAACTGGTGGGTCATCACCCAAAAGTGGGTCACGACCCTGTGTTCAGTGGGTTGCCTCATGCCTTCCACATTTTTAGGTGGGAGGCTCCTCTGCCTCCCCCTAGTGCAGGACTGTCAGTTCTCATGCCAAGCAGCCATTCAAAATATGCTGCCCGGCACCAAGTGTCAGCTTGAGGTGGGATGAGGCTATGGCCGCGAGGGAGCTCCATACATACGTTCATTGCTTACAGCCCCCTTATGTGCCCTATAGAGGTGCCTGGACTGGACTGACAGCACATTCTGGCTCCCGACACCTCTACAGGGCGTGCAAGGGAGCTGTACAAGCAATGCACATGTGGATGGAGCTCCGTCACAGTTCAGCAGATTGTGTCTGTGGTTGTGTATGTACTGTATGTCAGTGTTTTTGAGGGCCCGTTCACACTAATACAGTGCATCGCACAGTACTTTGCGATTAACGCACTGTACCATGCAATCGCACCTACCGTGCATTCTGGTGTGGGAGGTGTGCTGGGTTGCCATTTATTTGAATGGTTCCCCCTAAACGTACCTCCCACCCACAGCTCGTACACCTGCACTGGAACACACGGCACCCTAATTCCGTGCATTCCATTGCAGTGCGACTAGAGTCGCGACATACTGACCGAAAAACAAATGTGGGTCCTGAGGTTACACAGGTTGAGAGACTGCTCTATGAAACAATAAGAACAGAACTGCATCTTACTTGAGGCACAGAGCATCCTCTGAATCTTCTAAGCAACATCTACACGTTTCCCCAACTCGGTTCTATTGCTGGATCCACAAGTGTCAAGAAAAAAAACAAACAAAAAAAAACCCCACAATTTAAAATTATGATCAGACTTGAATTATGTATATCACATGATCTCCGGCAGCATCTCAGACAAGAGCTTCAAATAAAATGTAGAAATATGCCCCAATAAACTGAGATGTAGAGACTCCACTAGAGGTCATGGGAAGCCGGAATTTGTCCAAAACAGGAAAACTCATTTTGGGTGGGCCAACCATTTAAATACTCATCCATGAGTGTATTGTAGACTAAAGCTGGGTATGGGTTTCTTCGCTCAACTGGCGGGCTGAGCAATGAAAACATAACAGATCCCACCATCAATGATTACGAGTGTGGAAGGACAAATCTCCCGCTGTCAGAATACCCAAACGGAGCTTGTAGCCGATTGGCTGCAAGCTCCATTCAGCTGAGAATTTTCCACCTGCTGCTTCGGTCAACTGATTGAAGCATGCCGAATGAAAGGATGCAGACAGCGGCACTCACTGTGCAAAATTCGGCCGGATCAACAGGAATCGGCCTATATTCGATACGTGTATAACCTGCTTGTAGAGACACTGCCTATATAGAGTAGAAGGGTTAAAACTCATCCGTTTACTTTTTGCTGCCTGTGTCCCATTGGGGAGAATTTCCCTCACTACTTGTCCAATACAACATGCAGGAACAGACCATAGTAGTAAATCTTAATATCTCTCCTATTTTACCTGCATGCACCAACACAAAGCCAACCCTTTTTCCCTTCTGCGCCTTACTGGAGTCTGCGTCTTTGGTTGAGTCAGTCTCTTTCCTATTTGAAACCTGAGATGATTTCGAAGGTGCGGTTTCTGATGAATTGACTGCCTTTTCCATGGTGTTACCCCAGATGAATCATTGCCGTCTTAGGAGACAGCACCCCGATAACCATGATTTACAGGAATTCCTGGAACAGAAATAAAGAGCTTTGTAATAAGCATACAAATATAAAACAGACTTGTACTCTGAAAGCCGGGGAAGGACTCAGTTTACAAGCGGATATATTAAAGAACAGGCTCTGTAAATCAGTGCAGGCAGTCCCTGAGTTACCAACATACGACTTACATACGACTCGTACTTACAGACGGAGGCTATTACTGTACAGCAGGGGGTCCCAGGCTGCAGCCAAAGTGTACCGTGCAGCATTTCAGTAGTTGTAATGCTACCGTGCTCGTGCCAACGAGGGGTGCCCGCCTTTTTGGGTCTGATTCGTAGTACTGTACGTACATTACAGAAAGTTGGCTCTTGTTAGACGTGCAGACGAGGGGTGCCCGCCTCTTCTTCTGGGTCTGGTACTGTACATTACAGGTAGTTGTACAAACATCTGTCCAAGTTGCATCTAAAGTAGAACCCCATGCAAATTTTATTTTTGTAGTTTGCTGTGGGGTTAGAGCCACTGTGAGGTTTTTACTGCTGTCTGTATCCTCATTAGAAAGATTTAATCTCACTTCCTGTTCTTGAGACATTAGGAAGTGAGAGAAAATCTACCCCTAGGAAGGGAAGTTCACTCCTGTAACAGTCATCATGGGAAAAAGGTGTCTCTGCTAAAGCTTTATCACCAATCCTTGTTTCCACGACAACCCAAAATTTCAAAATCCAATTGTCACAGGGACAGAAAGTGAGGTGAAATCTTCTGAAGAGGGGGGCCCAGACAGCAAAACAAACAGTTCAGGGGGCAAACCCTTCCCTATGCTATCCAAAACGGGGGAAAAAAAATTGGGGGCTGGAGTTACACGTTGAATTTGTATGTAAGTTGGAACAGGTATATTTTTAAAGAACAAACCTAAAGACCCTATGTAACCCGGGGACTGCCTGTATTATAAAAAGGAACTTCCTATACAATGGGTCATGAAATATCACGTCAATGCATTTAATTTGTAGCTAAGACATCAATGGGATGCTATAACGTGTGGTACATGGGCATTTACATAGCATTAAGAAGTTCCTATC